ACCGTGAGCGATACATCAGTGCGATGAACGGTGCTCGTGTAGAGGTTTTCGTTTTTTGCACGCTGGGTTTTCAAGCTGTTAATTAGCATATTCATTATCGGCGTCACTCCCCTAGGTACACGTCTCGAGAGCGTCCGGCATCTCCGAGGCAGTGCTCTAGCACTGTGACTTTTGTTGTGGACGCACGCGGAAGCGGCAAGTTGTGTTTGTTCATGGCACGAGGATGCGCTGCTTCCGGACTCCTCTCGCAGCACGTGCTCATTTCCCGGCTTGTCGTGCGTGACCGCGTTTGTCTGCGAGCTTTTCAAAGGGGGCCGATGAATTGGTTTCTGACTGCAGGCAAAATAATGTGACCGTCAAAGCAGGGCATAGACCTTAACCAGGGACTTTACTTAAAGGGCCCCCTAAATCACACCCGACTTCAAAAGCGAGACAGTATAGTTGCTTCTTCGCCTTCACGACCCTTTCTACAAGTGCTCTCTACTCCTCACCACTTATTTCCTAGTAAAACACGTGAAATATCTGCTCTAAGCGTTGAGCCAGTCAGGATTGAGTGCTTTTCAGCTACACGCCGCAATCTCCGCTTGCGCAGACGCAGGCAACGAAGTGAGCCCAGTTTATCGCGCATGATAGCCACGCGGGACAAGGCAGACTGGGCATGCGACTGCATGGCAAAGCGGAGTAGGCGACAAACCGCAACCGAGATCTCTCGTATACCGACCAATCGAGAGCTTATGCCATTCTGACGTCACGTGGGCGAACAGTTGACGTCACGAACTGTGCCACAAAGACTGCGAACGCTGGGAGAGAATAACGTGTTTGTTATTTGCATCTTCGGAGGTGGTTTAGGGGCCATTTAAGTATGAGCGGCGTTTCCGAGCCAAGCACTGGCGAGGACGACCTACTGGTGTGGTGGTGGTAGTGGTTAGAAGTAGGCGCCTGTCGGTGCTTCTCATTCAGTGGGAAAGAGCCATGCACAAACAAAAAGAAAGGAGGAAGCATTACGTCACACGAGTGAAGGCCACCTGAAGCCCACCGTGTCTACGCAACACGTGATCAAAACGTCAGAGCGTGCGGTAGGTTTTAGTTCTCTAGGTGGTGTTTCGTTTTTGATCCTCCTGCGTGAACCGATCGTTCGGCGACGAACAAGCGCGCTTTGGATAAAAACTATAGTGGGCGCCACGTTCTAAAGTCTCGGCAAGTCTCGTTGCTTGCGTGATCTTGATGCAAAAGGTCACCTGTTAAGCCGGCACTTCTGGCTTCAAAACGAGTTGGCTTGCAAAGGCTAGTGGCGTGACGTCATGCTCCCTTCTTTATTTTTTCCTCCATGGAAAGAGCTAGGTAGGTTTGATTGATTTGTGGGGTTTAACGTCCCAAAACCACCATATGATTATGAGAGACGCCGTAGTGGAAGAGCTAGGTAGGGGTGTAGGCGATAGGTAGGGGATACCCTACCTATCGCGATGTCATAGTTGAAAAGGAAAGACACAGTGGTTCTGCTGGGCAATGGATTAGCTAGCACGCAGTTCTTTTAATCAGACCATTCGCGAAGTCGATGTTCTTAGGTAGCATGTATGCGTTTTCAGTGAAAGCTGCCATGTTATCACAGCAGCCGATTTCAGTGTCGTAGCTGTCCGTTGCTGCCTCCGGTGTCCGCAAGCACTATCGCGTGGAACTGAAATTAGAAAAAAAATATCGAGAACCGGGTGGCATTTTTACCCGGGCCCTTTGTGTGGAAGTCGAATATTCTACCACAGGGCCACGTCGATGCCCGAAACTCCTCAAAAAAAAAAACTAAGCAAAAAACACGCCAGGCCTCCCGTGCAGCTCTCCCGTGATTGTAACGAGTGTGCTGGAAAAGGGACCAAACCTTGCTGTTCGCACAAATGTTTCCATACAGGATCTGATTGGTATCAACCAAGACTTACTACGAAGCGTTTTTTTATGAAAAGGAAGATTGGCGCATGTGTAAGTGAGGTTTAGATATCTTCACATGCTTCTGAATTTGAATTTATGCGAGGACTTCATCTTACGTGCACAGCTGTTACTGGCAGCTTCTTATGCGTCAGACACATTCACACACACTCATGTGTGCTGCTTATGTGCTGGGTTCATTTCTCTTCCCTCTCTCCTGTCTATCTTTCATCTCCCCCATCCCCCTTCCATGCACAGGGTAGCAAACCGGCATCCTATAGACTGGTTAACCTCCCTACCGTTCTTTTCACCCTATTTTCCTTCCTCACACATTCATTTTCTACATGATCTTTTTGTTTTAGGTTTCCAATGCGATGTTGCGCATGCGAGACACTATAATGTGTGCTTTTAAACTCGCTGGGTGTAACATATATACAGTCGTTAGTAGCGCCAGTACTATTGTCTGTTCTCCCTTCTTTGTGCTCGTAGATTTGTACCGTTTGTTTTCTTTTTTAGGAAAAATTTGTGCTGAGCAGGCTAATAGGTTCTCAGCGCTCAGCAGGACCTTAATACTACTTTCGCGGAACTCAATATGAGAACCCTTGTCAGTGGTGGATCCATGGGTTGATGGCGGTAATTTGGAAAGAGGGTAGAGGGGGTGAGGGGGATGTAGTGAGATTCAAAAGGGGCCGGTCTCTTTCCATTTCTTGAAAACTAGTGCGCAATGAAGTTATGACACCTATCGCTCGCAGAAACCACCTGTGTTATGCACGCCTTGTCACCAATGCTACACCACAATGCACGTCTTGTGTGTTGCAGGGAAGCCTGAATGTGTTATTATTTTGTGTGAACAGGAATCCAAGGGATGGCTTCTCTGATGGTTCGTCTTGCCTTCTTGGTTGCATTAGAGCGGCATGTTGCTGTTGCTCACTTAACAAGAATATGTAATAAAACATTGCAGGCTTCCTTCTGCACAGACTTCCTTCTGGCTTACTTCGTTCTGCAGTCCAAGTGATCCCAAACTCCACCTTGTTGGCTCCAAACCTTATCTTCGTTAATTAATGGTAATTAACTTGAGTCCGGTGGTAACATTCATGTGCGGCGAGAATAAAAGGACACTAACCCCTGTCTCTTTCCACCCTGTGTCGATGACGATAGTGGTGCCTCAGGTGGCGGCCTGAAGTCCTTGGACCCGGGTGGCCCCAAACTGATCGGTCGGCTCATTGGGTGGTGAGTGCCACCTCCCAGCAGTAGTGACACCGATGGAGGTGATCCGCAGCTGTGGGCCCCGACTTTCTCGCGGTGACAGCGGCGACGATTGAGCTCGGAGTTTGTTTCTGCCTGGCTTGTGTCGCGATGTGAGAAGCGGCAGTGATATTAACTTTCCCGGTGCATTCTCAATGCTCCTGGTGAAGCGTAGCTCTTCCCACCACACGCTCTACACACGTCTGTCAGGTATATATTCTCGGAATCGTAGGGTTGTCGGGCTGGGTTAGTTGTTTTTCTAATGCCACCAAGTCACGGCACGCCTTTTGTTAAGTTTGGCCTGCTTTGGTGGGTATTTGCGTGGGCTTAGTCTGTAATGTTGGGTGATGTCTCTGAATGTGGTCAGGCGATCGCCCCACGACCACTCGGGTCGTTGTTGTTCTGTTATTACCGGTATCGCCCGGCTCTCGGAGGTGAAGGCGGCCACCGAATCGGCAGCGGCTCGGTGAATGAGACCTCGAGCTGTGGCGTGGGTGGCCTAGTTGCTTACAAGCGGGACGCCGGTGTGTTTTGGTGTCCACAGGAAGACGACCATCGCATTTTCTGTTTTGAAACGCGAGGCCGACGACTTCGAGGCCGTTGGTTTTGCCGCCGTCCTCCCTGCACAGCGAGTTTGAAGTGTGAGGGCCGCCTCCTACGAGACGCGACCGGCAGCCTGCGAGTCGCTGATCGCGACCGCAGCTTCCGGCACCACCAAGTGTGGATGAGTTATCACGCCCTCTTCGGCCGCCTTCACGTGTCCCATGGATGGCCTTCACGTGTCCGTTGGGCTCGCGATGCATTCACCTGAGTGGTCCCCAACTTCGAACGAAGTAATTTTGTTTAGTTTCAATTTAAACCTGCTTCACTTTTTTATGCTACCAACTTCAACCGAAATAAGTTTTTTTTTTTAAATTTCAATTCACACTTGCTCCAAAACACAATTTTTTTATGCTACCAACAAGGTCGAAAACATCTTTTTTTTTTCTGCGACAAAAATTGCTACAAGTTCTAACTGGTCGTACCACCACTAGAAATAAAAGAGTCAAGTTTAGAGGGTTTAGTATCCGCAAATTAACATTCGCGGTTGTTTTGCTACCAAAAAACAATGCGTTTTTTCTAGTGTTCTTCGAAAGCTTCCGTTCTTTCTAGAGCTATCGCCATTAAGAAATGGCTTTTCGCGTATTAACCCTGGCAGTTTTATCTTCACGTGTGATATTTTTGAAAACATCACAACCATAGTCAACCAATCGCATTTCAACTTTATTTTCAATATCTTCCAACTAATTGTCGACGAAAGTATATGGCAGTAGCTCATAGTAAATTCTTTATTTACTTCCAGTGTCAAAAGTCAGCATTACAAACATTTGCGGCACATGAAAGTAAACCGCAGCATTTCAGAAAGCTCTTTATCTATAACACATCTTGAAACAAGATGCAACTTTCACTAATTTATTGTAAAAGTTGGGCGAACAAACACCAAGAACGAAACTTGTTTCATGTTCTTGCTGTTTGGTTATTCATACTTTTGCGATATGTTGTACATACTGTTTCATCTTGAACTTCATTATTGTCCTTTCTTTCTTCTAATTGGAAGGCTTTCAGTTTTCATAGTTGGTTTTACGCAGAGCGCTATATTCAACTGCCAAGCTATTAATACATGGTAATTGGAAAATAACTTTCAAAGGGGGTCATTTGCAAGGATTGAGACGGTATCCTGAACAGAGATAGGAGCGGAGGACAGCCCTACCCTCTTGTGATTAACGCACTAGACGAAGTTCACGTGGTCTCGAAACAAATATGCTATGTTCTGCATCAAGCGGTTAACAACAAGGAGAAAATACACTGTAACAAACTTTTATTGCTTCCAAACAACATTTCGCTGGTCTCTCTTAGCGTAAGTGTGGTGTAGAGGTGCAATTTCGTCGCCCTCTTCTTTGTATGCCTCAGTTGCCACTTCCCGGTATTTCTTCAATGTGCCTTATCGTACATGACATGGTATGCTGCTTTCTCCCTTGGTAAATATTGTATGACTGAAAGTGTTATAACGGCACATTGCCAATATGAGCCAACAGTGCAAACAAGTGCTGGTAGTGCACGGGCAAGCACATACGGTAAAGCGCACTTAATTTCTCTAAGTCGCGTAGAGATTCGCCATAATATTTCAGCGTCCACCACAAGGATGTCTGCGTGCGCTGCTCACGACGAACAATTGTAGACAGTGGCACACTACCATTTGATATTTGTAGGGAGTGTGTCTAGTCTGTAGAAGGTTTTTCTGGTTGTACTGGTGCAGCAGAACCGTAGTTTTGCTTTGCCAAAGCTGGATAGCGTTGTGAACCTTGAAGATAGATGATATTCTCACAATTGCCAACAGTTATGTCCTGATGGATGCACAGATGAAGCTCCAGATTCTCGGCTGTGCTGCAGAACATCGCGTTGGAATCTTGTTAAAAACCTGCACCGAAGGAGTCTGTTATGGCGAGACGTAGCTACGAAGCAACAAAACCAATTTTGACATTACTACACTATGGTGCACGCACACACGCACACATATATACAGACACACACAGTAAAATCGTGAGAGAGATTTTCTGCTTCCCCGAGCGTAAAATCGTAACGTAGAGACCAGGAAAAGCTACAAGGTCATTTTCGTTTCGACCAATATAATCCAGCGCATGTGAAAACTACGCGAGGGCAGCCTTCACATAGAGCCTCCTACGCCGCCCAGACATGGGTTGCACCATGAGCGCACGATGTAAGTCAGAAGGACGATTGTGTGAGGCAGTGACTGGCGAACGATGTCGGTATATAAGCAGCGAAAAAGGAATGAAGTGATTGTGCGAGCAGGGCAAGCGACAAAGTTGCAAGGATACGGTTAGTGCTATGAAACTACGGAGTCAACCACTACCCGCGCATATACTATCCGGTAGATTTGATCACTACCGAGTGCCAAGTAGCCTCGTAGACGTAAAGCTATAGGGCCGTGAGTGGGGTGTCTAGACGTTTTCGTGTGGTATCTTTAGAGCCCATGCTTTAAAAAAAAAAGAAAAATCATCGCTGCAAAATTTGAAGGAAAACACCACTGTATATACTTACTCTGTTATCTCCGAAAAGAACATTCAATCTCGTTTATTACACCGATTTTAAACTGCGATGTATACAAATAAGTAATGCGGAACCACTTTATTCTACACGCTCCTAATGATACATACAGAAGAGAAGGCTTTACAAATAAAATGTCCAGTTGGAAATGAAGTCCGTGACATCACTCGCGTCATTTTTTTTTTTTTTGCGTTGAAAGCAGCCGCCAGACCACGCGACACTATCAAGAATTACATCGGCTGTGCGGGAATGCAAAAGTTTTTCGGATAAACGACCTGCTGAGGTTGCATAAACCAGAAAGAACGAGACGGCCAGAGCGAAATTCGTTGAGCGGAGATGTACTAGGAAATCAGTGGGCGAAACGTGATTTGTTGCGTAGCCATATTGTGAGTGAACGTCATGAACGGCAGGATTTTATCTCCGTTCATGTGGATGGGGTTAATGTACATGACAACCGTGTCCAAGAGGGTTCAAAGAAACTGTTTTGTCAAGCCGTTGGTCTACGGATGATTAGAAATCTTGTGAATGATGTTGGCGACGTAATAACCTCAGCAACAGTAGAAGAGTAGAAGACTTTGATATGGTCGCTAAACAGCAGATGTTGAGCTTCATGGCTTAAAAGTATGTTGCTCAGAAAAAAAAAAAACTGGAATATGAGTGGCAGTACCAGCTTGTGACAAGGCTGTTTGCGCGGAGCGGGTTAGATAGTCAACAGCCGTCACAATTCAACTATTCGAATGGGAGGTCTTAGGAAGAGAGCCGCACAAGTCTATCTAGAGGACTTCTGAAGGCAGACTGAGATAAGGAAGACTTTGAAGGAAGTCAGAGGGAACAGTGGTGGGCTATTTGAGGCTTTGGCAGTGGTCGCATGAGGCAACGTAGACAAGACAGGCCAGGTGCCACGACTTCGTATTTTGTCGGGCCGTTTTGAGGTAGCCGAGACGACCGGTGGCGTAATTATTGTCAAATATATGAAAGACATCGCATTGTTTAACTTGGACCCACTTTTTTCTGTCAACGAGGTGAACGTAGTGATGTATAGCACCACTGTGAAGCTTGAATTTGTTGAAGGTATATGTAACAGTTGACCAGCAAAAAGCTCTGCTAAGTTATGATATCATTTCGTTGTAGAAACCGCAGTAAATTCGAAACGCTAACCGATCATGAGAGTGCGTATACCCAGTGCTGAGCAATGGCTTGGAGTTCGCCCTTTCGCAGACAGGACGCATTAATAATTGCGATAGGAACAAACTAGAGATTGCATACGCAGAAAAGCTAGCAGCTCGACACTTGCAGCGTCCTGCTGAAGCACAAGGAAGGACGTACCCAAAGTAAGACACGTATACACAGGACGAGCAAAATTGTCATATGTAAAACTCTACACTTGCAGCCCGCTGCTGAAACACAAAGGACGCACTAAAAGAACACATACAGTACTCAGGACGAGTGTGAACTAACAATGGACACTTGCACGACTCGGCACTTGCAGCGCGCTGCTCAGACACAACGAAGTACAGCACGAAAAGAACACAGAGGTATACATGCACGGAACGAGTGGGAACTATACTGTCACAGTTGCCAGTTGTGTTGTACGTCCTTCTTTGTATTCGAGCGGAACACTGTAAATATGGAACACTGTATATATTGACTATGAGCTAAGAAGTAGCTCCTACTTTGCTTGGTATGACTCGCAGTCGTACTCTTACCTTTTTTATGATATAAATAGCTGTACATAAAGTGTCAGTAATCCAGTTTGTTTTTCGCTTTCATAATTTATTAGCCTTATTTCGTCAAACCAGAGACTCACCACGCTGCCAATCGGAGTCCGGGAACGACGCAACCCTAACGTCTCGACAACTGACGTTTGATGGGACGTAGTCGTACACCTTTGGCGCAACAGGCTCTTCTAGCTAGCAGCAAGTGAAGTGACCTTCGTCACGAAACTTCTGGTGAAAGGCACAACCTACACAAAACTATGCGCGCGAGTGTGGGCAACCCCACCCAGTACAATAATATTCAGGGAGGAGTGCAGGGTGGAGGCGCGCATCGCTGCTCCGGCGAAAGACGAGCGAGCCGATGACCGTGCCTATTGCGTCATGTCGCGGACAATAGCGAACAAGGCCCTGGTACGCTGAAGCACTACTGAGCTCTGCCTACCGCCAGCGGTAAATCATGTATGTAAATAGATTACCATTGGTGGCGTAACTGCTCGAAGCGTAGCGCTGTGGAGTGTGGGATTGGCACACGCACACACACACACACACACGCACACACACACACACACGCACACGCACACACGTGCGCGCGCACACACACACACAACCAAAATACTCACGTTGAGGAAAAGGTGGCTTGCCTGTTTACCACCAGCCTCCCTTTCCCGACTTGAGTGGCGCCCCGTATCCCGCGGAGCTGGGTAGTCCGAAAGGGACAGGTCCCAGAAGAGGGCCTCCCTGACCTGACCCGCCGTTGAAGCCCGTCGAATGGTGTGTGGTCGTTCCCAAGTGCTTCACCTGCGAACACAACCACGTAGCAGTTTGTTTCGGCTCAAAATAACTGATTCACATAAAAAACAGCGCCGATAACGAGGGACAAGAAAATAAGGAGACAGACAGTGGCACTGTCTGTCTTCTTCTTTTCTTGTACCTCATAGCGCTGTTTTTAATGTGAATCATGTCGTACCAACTCGCCCAAGCAACAACGTTAGCTATAATAAATGAACTTCGCTGTTTCGCTCAAACTCACTGAAGTGACAGTAAAGTGCTTTGCAAATTGAAATTAAACTGAAGCCAGTCTTATCATTTAAAGTGCTTAATTTTTGTTTCAACTGTTAGTGCGTATTGCATCAGGAACGGTGTGCCGAGTTATAAGCCCTGTGTGAGAGATAAAGAAAAAGGGTGGCCGGGAGGTTAACCAGATCTTGGCATCCGGTTTGTATACTCGCGATGTGATACTCTCCCTCAAGTCACATGGGTGACCGATCTGATTGGTTGCTTGGTTTATGTTTTTTTTTCAAAGTAGGACCGATCGTGGGTCGTCCATTCCCTACAAGCACGCTGTGAGTTGGCATCTTCATGTTCCTGAGCGTTGGCAGTATTGAAGGCCTCGTCACCGACTGATGTTCCATGGAGGTGGTCGTGCTCACTGGTAAGAATTGCGCTGGGTTTGGTAACGTCACAGAGTTCGAAATCTGGATGGCATCTATATGCTTTAACCTAGTTCGCAGATGTCGACAAAATGGACATGCTTCCGGTGACATGAACTCAATCTTGTTAGCCTGCCTTTGAACGTTCGTACCACCGCCGGTGAATGACGGCCATGAGGTAGGCATGCCGCCTCCGTTTTATCAGGGGAAATTGTTGGAAGTCGCCGGCAGGGTGGATTTCTGGTGTGGTGACGCATGAGGTTTCTCCGACTGCTGGTGGTGAAAAAAAGTTGGAATTGACGTGCTCGTGTGATTGTGTACTTCGGGAATTTTGTTTTATTGGCTGTGAATGTGTTGCGGTTATGAAACGGTCTGCGGGCAAACTGTACAGTCGCAGCTTCGGGGTGGCGCCCTCTTTAGCTCTATTCACGTTAATAATAGGCCGCTTGTTAAGGACAACACCGGCAGTTGGGTGACGGTATTCAACTCAAATTCTACACAGCCAGAGGGAACTGCACACTCGGACTCCTCAAGTTCGGCATCGCTGGGGCATGCCGAGGGCTTGTCTCATACTTGACGCGCTAATATACCAGGGATATGACCTGTTCACGGATTAATAGAAGAAATGCATATATTGACCCATCGAAGAAACACCCAGATCATTAGATTCGGCACGCTGCAAGTGATGGTGGCTCTACGTTCAAGCTATTTTACAGCTTTTAACATCAAGTCACAGAGCCTGCAAGACCACCTGCGGCCTACATCACATCTTGCTGCTTGTGGACCAGTGTTCCGGTACTACTCTTCACCATCCTGACATGAATTATTTATAAGTGCCTACGCGACGTGGAGCTACAAAAGAAGAAAAAGTGCTACTTGGATATTTTTTGAACTATATTGATACTCTACCCTGCGGATAAAAAAAAAAGATGCCTGCATAGCGGCTGCATGCGCGATGCATCACCGTAGGCTGATAATAAAGCATGGCACCGCATCTCGCTTAAGTTGACATTTACGGCAAGCAAGGCAAGTGTTGACGCGATATCGTTAGAGTGCACGTTTCGAGGAATTTAGGCGTTGGCTTCATTGGTTGTGAGCTATACATTGACGTTTGATTTCAGGGAAAATTGGAACTAGATGCAAATCGACAAGCAATAAAGATTGTCGGTCCAAGTGAGAATGCAACCCAGGCCTTCTGCGTGGCAAGCAGGTACTGCGAAGCGTGAGCCATGCTGGTGCGTGAAACTTCTTTGCAAAAAAAAAAGAAAAACAAACCTAAGAAAAAGTGCTATAACAGCGTCACGGAGTGGGAGAAGTCCTTTAAACGCATGTGACGTTTCGCGATAAAAACTTAGAATCGCACCAGGCGTCAAAACATGTGAATTTCGCGGCGTGTAGGAAGCTGGTGTCTCTCACAATCGTACTGTAGTTTTAGGATGTTAAACTCCACATATGAAGAAGACGTATTGGAGGTCGAAAGCTGCCGACCCACTACTAAGTGTGCAGTTTCACTGGTGCGTGTGGCACCTTACGCAAGTGTGGTGCATAGTTCACCAGCTGGCAAAAAAAATAAAATATGGCGCAGTGGGCATTTCGTAACTGCACCTGCAGCAGGTATTCAGGAAAAGTTTGGAACGCCAGCGTTAGTTGCAAAAACGTTATATTTCACGGCCACGTGGTTCAAGGCAATACGCGTGCTACTAGATTTCATTATCGTGTTATGCCCTCGATTGACGAAGTTCAGGCGTACGCCATGTCTTTTTGTAAGTAGAACTACCTGGGTTACATTTATATACATTGAAGTTGCGGGGCTCGTATTTTGCAAATCAAAACTTAGGGAGAATTCTGCATTGGCAACAGGTACGCTGACGCATCCTAGGGAAGCTCAGAAGCACCACGGCTATCCTAAGGCACCTTCAGAACCAAATGCACATAAGGTGCCGTGTGAGTTCCCCAGGAGGCAAGCCTTACCTTCACGAGAATGACCTTGGTTTGACCTCCTGGTATGAATGTGACTGGCTGGCGGCCTGGAGAATGACGGTGGACCAGATAGGGCAGGACCAAATCCACCCGGCCCTCCTGGGCCAAGTCCTGTTGCTATCGCCGCCGGCACTCCTGGGTTGAACCCTGAGCTGAATCCTCCTGCTACAGCGGGACCCACTCCAAAACCTCCTGGGCCAGGTGCGAATCCAGATGGTGCAAAGCCACCACTCTGGAAATCGCTGCGAAGCCAGAGTAGCTACCGCCTCCGAGGTTACCCTTGAAGCCACCTGGAAAGCCGCCTCCTAAGAAGGGCCTTCCCCCACCACCGCCACCGCTCTTTAACAGGTGGCAGTGCAGGGTCCCAGTAGCTGTGGTTGCGATCGCAAGCAGGAACTGCAAGAACTACAATACGTTCGGCATAAATTAGCACATCTGCTTTCGCATTACAAGTATTAGACGAAGGGAGGTGGCTCGCCAGTGCCCCGTCAATCCGTCTAAGGCGAACGCAAGCAGGGCAGCGCTTCCACTGGTGGTATAACCGATGTATATGAATGACTCTGCTCTACGCATGGCTGGTGCGCAAGCCTGGCTGCGGTTCCAGCGGCATACCTCATATCGTGCCGTGTTCCCGTCACCTTTCTGTAGCTCGAGCAATCGCAGACTACTACGGCTTCGTACGAAGTGAGGTAACATATTGCATCAATGCTTTGGGGCTATGCTAGTAGCAAAGTGTAAATGTCATTTAGATGAATAAGGCTAATGGTAAGGCTCTTTGATCGTCGGGTTGCAAGTTCTGATGAGGAGGGGGGAAGGGGGAGGATGTTGGTAACTGCCAGCACAAGATAAACCATTTTCTTGCCCATTAGATGACGGAGATAGGCATTCCGCGAGCGCTCGCATAATCCATAAGCTTCTACAATGGACTGTTCGTCCCACCGCAAAAAGTGGAAATCTCGTAAACTACAGCAGCTTTGCACTGGACGAACTTGCAAGAAGATCACTTACCACTTAGGTTCTGTCATCTGCCGCTGGCTAGCTCGCTCGAACTTCCCAACTTACTAAGCTCTGTTTACAATGACTACTCCCCAGCTTTCATAACTCGCGGAGAGAACTGTTTATTTATTTACTTATTTATATACCCTAAAGGTCATTCTCGCAAAAAATTAGGAGATAGTCACTTACGGTACGAACGCACACTAAAGAAATTTAGTGAGACACATAAGTATGGTTTTATGTAGTAAAAATGCATAACAAAATAAGCACCGTGACCACAGAATAACAAATTTGTGAAGACGTACAATTTGTTAAATAAGCATCACGATCTGTGTTCCTCGGTAGTAAATTATAATGGAGTATTGCCAATAGTATCTGCGAGTCACGATACTGATTACTTTAGGGGTGTGATAAAAACTGCGTAGCTATATTCGTGGAACGAGAATTCACTATGCATATGGCGCGGGAGAAATGCGTAAGCAGCGTTTTTAGTCTGCGCTTTTCAAGAGAGTGTATGTATAACGAAAGTGATGAAGTGTCGCGGACTCCCTCGCTGCTTTATTCTTCGGTCTCAGACACGTTTATATGCGCGAGTTATCTACAACGTATTGAACGAGCACTCACCGCACACAATCTAGTCAGCATGTCTCCTCCTGGACGCACGGCCTTGGGAGGCAGATGGACTCCATCGTTCGCTTATATACCACAGCAGCCGCCGCAGAGCCCGAGGTACATTTTTGGCCAGCAATATGTTTGCGCTCCCCCTCACCTCCACGGTGATAGAGGTGCTTGTTCGGTAGTGACACCCGTGATACGCCTCTCTCCTAAAACCAACAAGGTCTTCGAACTAGGTCGCTCGGGTCACCAAGAATGAAAGAGCGTCTCCGCGATGACGGTTTTTTTTTTCGCGCAGTGCTTGTAGTCGATCCTGGTACGCGCTGCAACGCCGTACGTCAATACACTTCGGTGCATCGTTGAGGAGTAGAGTTCGTTCGTTCTGAAAACCACTTGAACTTCTTTGGGCTTCTTCGCCGACAGAGAGCTTACATTGTAATAGCCGTACTTTACCTTCATTCTGCTTTTACATAGACGAAGCTTGCAGATGCAAAATACATCCCGTGTAGTCCATCTTTTACGTCTTCTCCTAGCAATGAACGAATGTGAGTACAATGGCGTAATTATTTTTACGATGTTGCCGCTGTAATATCATCTGAAAGTAATGCGGTAAATGGTCCGTTTGTTCAGATAAGGTGCACTGGAACCAGGTGGATCGCTCGCAACGGCTGCACTGCCAGTGCATCGAAAGTGAAGCCAAAAGAGGGTGCCTTTGGCGCTACGATCGGTATAGACTGCAATAGCTGGTCATTCAAGAGCTGCCCT